AAAGCAAGCAATAATTGTCCACATCTCGAATACGAATCGGATCTTCATCGAAGCCGGATTTCCCTCCATTTTCTTGGCGGGTATACATATCTTGCGCAGATGCTGACAGCCGAGCTCACCAATTGAATGTCACACACAAGGTAGATGAACGAGCTCCATTCTCACGAAACGGGTCTGAACTTTCCGACTGCGAGCACCGAGCGTTCTTGGATCATGGGCACTACACCCATCCGGATTCGCACGTCGCAATCTCGGCATCGTCAAGCCTGCTATGTAAATATTTGCGACAATTAAGAATCTGAGACTTGAGTTGAGTTGACTATCTGGAATACGGGAAGGCAGCTCAGCATCTCCTTCTATAAATAAACCTGCTCTGCAAATCTGGGACAGTCGAAACCAGTGAACCTTTGTACACCTCCATCACTCCCTTCTCCGGACGTTCCAGTACGGCCTTTTTCATCTTCGAGTGCGTGGACCGCTTCTGGAAACTGCTGTGATCAGGTTCGTGTGTGTGCACTCCGTTTTGCCATTCCACGTTGAGCTCGGGAACTCTAGAGATGATCACTCTCGCAGAGCATCCCTCCTCGCGCTTTCTGATACACCGACAGTACAGCTTGTCCCGGTGTTTTTTCTCGGCCTCGTACAAATTGTTGTTGACAAGAAACAAGGGTTTCCCCCTCGTCGAAGTAATTTCTCGTGCATTCATTTCTCCGTGAGATTTAACAGATCGTAGTCGACTGGTGATGGGAGCTTTTGACAACAGAGAGTTGACAGCAAAGAGAGCTCGTTTTCATCTGACACGTACATGATGAACAACTGCTAGATTCGATAGAAGCCCCGCTCAGTCTGAAGGGAGCAAACGTCGCGCCTGAATTGAGGGAGAATCCGTTCGGGAAGATGCGATTCGGGGGGATACGATTCCGGTAGTCAAATCATGACCCCTGGAGCACCCAATAGTAGATCCAGGGACAGAGCTGCGATTACCAGGCCGCGTGAACTTCGCATATCGCTCAAGTCGCTCATCCGAATCGTGAGTGTCAGCGGCAGTCTTCAGAACATGCGGGGGCTCCCCATCTGTCTCGTCGATCAGTGTAAACTCCGGGTGCGGGCCCTTGAAAGTTTAGAAGAAATCGGGACCATTACCGTCGAAACCGCCCCAGGATCAAAGAGGGCTCTCTCTGAATCTCTTGACTCCGAATGCGATTCTAGCCAGATGCCGAGTTTCTTATCTTGAATTCGCAGCTTTTCATCTCCGGAAGAGTGACCAAATCGGTGGTCAGATAAGTTGGTGAAACACGGAATCTTCCCGGTCTGGCCACGGAAGGCCACGAGTCTTCTGTCGCCCCCTTACCCTCTCTGCTCGGAGCTACGCGAGGGTTCGGGTGAGAGTAGTGATCATGCGGCTATTATTGTCTTCCTGGAAATTCAGCTCGGTTTCAACTCAATAGATGAATTAGTTGGTGCTTAACACATGTCTGTTCAGTTCTTCGCAAGGCTCGTCATCCCGAGAGGAATGCTCTATCCCCTCCTCTTCTTACCATGGCTAGTTGCCGGTCACGACCAAGCTGTGAGTTCGATGTGATGATTGAAAATCTTTTTTTCCGAGCTCCTCTCTCTGGAGCATCGTCAAAGCGAAAAGTTCATCTGATGTGAGTTCCGTCGACGAGAGAACCCTCTCCATAGTCGACACGTCCAAACTCCTACCTCAAGCTCAAGAGACACAAGGTAGAACTCAAGATGATGGACCGCTCCTCTCTTTTTCTGGGCCTGGACTGTCTTGCCCTCCGCCGCAGCACTGATCCAGACGCAGATCATTCTCGTTTGGGTATACATAGGCTCGCCGGCGCGGCGGCTCCTCTTATAGTGGTGTATTATCGGATATAATTGATACGCATGCCGAGCTCATTCTAGCCCCTTGCGAGACTCATCGATGGTTTTGATCAATGTGTGAATGAGGATCACGAAGATTCGCAAAGCTGCGGGCATCTTTCACGTGAACAACTCAAATCGTCACGCACTGCGAAACTAGGGTAGCGGTGTTCTGATCACAACATATATTAAACAAGTGTTGCTGGAGCCTTGATTCGATTCCTCGTCTGACGAATCGTAGAGCTAATTTTGACGTTCCTCAATCGGGTCCCCGGCACTGACAGTGAATGACAAGATGAAATTCTAGCCGTTATACACATCGAAGTGGAAACCCGTACATCGGGCTTCGTCGAGTTTCTCCGCGACAGACTGCCACAATATCAGCATTCCGGAGCGGCTCGAGAGCCTGTAGGACCTACATATGTTCCGAATTATTTATGTCGCACCCACTTCACTGATTACGGCGATTGAAAGAGTGGTGTACCGGGAACAGAAAGCGGAGGATTTCGCTATGGATCCCCTCCAGCTTGAAACTATCTCTGGCTAGGCTACCGAGCCCCAGAGAGTATTTTTCAGACATGTTCGATGCATAGTCGTCAAGAACACGCGGATCCGGAAATTACGGTCATGAGTCTCGCTTAGAGCCCCTGGATCTGTTCCTGGACTGAATGGCAGGACCATGCAACGCGCGGCGTCGCAAATGTGAGCTCTCTTTGGTCCCAGTCCGAGACAGTTCGCGCGAAAATCACGATTGATACGGGACTATGTTTCTCCCTCTTCGCGTCCTCAAATTAGGCTTGTCGATTCCCGCCGCGTTTCGAGGCGTGGGGTCTGAGTGTGCGGAACCGGAACAAGCACTCATATATGAGTATGTTCGATTCGGAAATGAGTTTCACGGGCGCAGCCTTGGATTGGGAGCTCCATGCTCACGAGACTAGGGGACCCGGGTGCTTTTTCTTGACAAGACGCTTTTCTGCCGCGATGTTCAACAAAGAAACTTTGTCCACCCCGTGCGTGTCAGGCGCGCGAAAAGATTCTTACGGGATACTTGGAACTGGCTCCTCTTTCTCGGAGTAAAAAAGTCATTTATTCTATGAGCCGGACGCCGCGCGCCGTGTTAGCTGAGAGGTCCGTGAATTCGCACGCCTCTTCGCGCGGATAAGCATGCCACGGTAGCTTTTCCGAACAGCAAAAATCAAGCTTCACATTCATCCTTCAGTACAACTGATTAGTTGTGGAAAATGCGGAAGATGGATGAGCGGCATAGAATCACGAACGGCGCTTGAGAATATTTCTCGAGTTCAGTGGCTCAAGTCGATGACATGTATCGATTTCTCGGAGCATGTCGTTGCAAAGCCCGCCATGAATGAGTCTGATGAGCCGCAAGACTCCGGAAGATTGGCTACAATAATACACGAGAGCATGCGAAAATTGATCAGCATCCTGAGCTGTCGATAGGATAGAGTCTTCCTGGGATAGAGTCTTCCTAGAAGAAGGGAGCCTCTGACGTTCTGACGGGAATGCCGCGATCGCTGATGGATTCCGAAAACACTTAAAAATGCCATCGACACCGACACCCGACTGTTTAAACGAGCGGTTGTGACTCAACCGAACTCCAAATTTTGGAGGTGAAAGGTCGTGATCGGAAATTCTTCCGCAGGAATCGGAACTTTCAACGCTGCCGCAACAATTGTTGTTTCAGTTGTGTTGTCAGCCCGCGGAATGGCGTCTCGTTTCGATTTTCCCGACTATCGCTTGTAGTATTCCCGGTTCTGGTGGCACCGGCCGCTATGGCTGGCGACTCTTGGCGGAGGCAGCAGTCACCGTCAACAGCCACAGGTGTCAGACGTGTGCAAGTCAAAATTGTGAAGGCATATCTGTGTTTGTTTCGCGCTGCTAGGCTTGCTTGCTCCTTCCCGCTCCCCGTCTCGTTACAATGAGAATTTCCTCAGCAATATCGTGAGGAAACAGAGTGGGCCTGCACTTGTACTTGAATCATCGAAATGCTAGGAACCCCGCTCATGATCGGACCAGGGGTTCTCGGGAAAGCAGGCTCAGTCTCGACTGTGTTCATCTTCCACTGGGGCCCTCCACTCGCGACCGAACCTGGGAAGGATTCTGATGTGCGGAACAAGCTTCAAAGGGAGAAAAACCTCGTCGTAATCATCCCATGGAGCGAGGGAGATCTCTCAGCTGCCAGAGCGAAGACTATTCGCCGAACAGCTGGGTTGTAGTCGAGCGCTCCAGCGGGCCCGCTGTCGGAACTTCGATTATGAGCTTAATCGGCATGGGCTGCTTAAGCAGCACTCCTTCGAAATCGGTGAATTATTTATCGAACGAGTAATCACGGTGCAGCTTTGGTGAAAGGGTCACCTGTGAAATATTCATGGGGGGCCGACGCTCCCTATGAGCTTGTTCGGAGTCGAAGCAAGTTTCGTAATCGAGTGGCATAATCATAGGGCTCCATTGAAGAAGTATAGCCTCAGTGAAAGACTCAACACTAGTCAGACACCTTTTATCGTTCATACCTCGATTCCGATCATGCCCTGGCTTAGTCCGGCTGTTGCACGGGGGCAGTGTCCAGATCCTGCATGTTCTGAACTCCATCCCTCAAAAAACAGCCTCCCCCGTGGGAGAAAATCGCAGATATGGAGAACTCAAATCTCTCCTCGCCTCTCAGGGAGTCCCTGGATTCCCTGCGCGGCAGAGGACGCATGTACGCTTCTCGCAGGTTCTGGAATGAATGTCTCGATCGGCTTATGAGAAACGACGCTCATTCCCGAGGTACGCATCGATATAACCCGACTGTAGGCTAGCACATCTTAATCGAGATACTCGATGTTAGCGTCGAATATTTCTCGTCATCGGCTCCTTGTCCCCGTTGGCTCCACGGCCGTTGTCGCGGACAGAGATGCAGGTCACGGCCGTTTCTCCGGAAATTTGAGTATCCCTCTGTCGCGTGTGATTCGACCAATCACTGTGCTGGCTTCCTCCATTTCGTGAGTCTTTCTTCCGTTGCACGCTACCGCTTCGGTCGTACTCCTCATAGTTTTCCCCAGACGAAATTCTGGATGCTTCCCATGTCCAGACAGACGAGCAAGCTAGTCTTTGATGCCGTCGCATAAGAAACGATGACGGAGTCGGAACCCGCTAATGGCGGCTGTGAAACGGAAGACCGAGCACCCCGGATGCAGATCGGCAGCATCCGACTCGAGGGTCAGTCGTGGGTCACGGTCATGGATTGGCAGAAAATGGTGATGTCCGCTCTTCATAGTATCCAGAACTTTCGGTTGCTACTGAACTACTGACATCACACTCCCGGTGGTTGGTCCCGATTCGTGATGGGAGGCTGCCCAGAAGAAATTCATCGAGGTTCTGCGGCGAGCTTGTCCTCTTATTCGCTGTTATGATATCGTCCGATTGCCAATAGGAAACCTTCTCTTCCGGCGAAGGTAACTCATGAATTAGAAATTGCTCCGTATTTGATTCCAGGTTTCGTACTTCAACATGATTCGAGCCGGAGATATAACCTTCCATCAGCACGGCTGGCCGATCAATGTGACGCTGGAATCAGCTAAGGGGATCTGGGCGGATCAAGAACATAAAATGAGAAGTGCTCTCGAAGGGGCGATGAAACCAGTTTTCCCGAGGCTAGTGAGGGTAGGGAGTGAGAGTGAGCTTGATCCAGAATGTCAGGGCTCGATGTTGAAAATGCTTCTTGGCGTGAGATCAATGAAGACATGGGCAATCAATAGTGAGTCTCGTCTAGCTTCCTATGGATCAGGAACCACAATCATGAGCGCTAAGCGGTCGCGGTAAGCAGCGAAATTATCACCCCGATTCAATCCTGTCAGTGATGGACGCTTCGGGTAAACTCCCGAATGGAATATTCTCGGGTACATCGGCTGTTTTCGGCAACTTCGACCAATGTCTGTCAATCGCGGTCGGGGATCTGGACGATGGTGGTTTCAGGTGAGTGAGCGGTTGGGACTTGGAGGCACCCGGAATCCACGCTGCGATGCGTCGCGGATGATCCGACGGACAAGTGTTCCCGGGGGAGAGAAAACCTTACACGGACTTATCGCCTCGTCTCTGTGAGCAGGGGGAAGTACTGTTACGTGAAAACAACAGCCCCGAATCTCCCGCGGCCGTCTCTCGAGCCTTCTAATGTTATCGCCGATGAAGAATCCATTCTCAACTGGTTCTACACTAACGCTTACTGGATTCAACAATTCGGAACCAGAATGGGTGTTTGCGTTCCCTCGCATTGCTCCGACGAAGATGTCACGAGAATGGTCACCTACGGTAAGCTATCTCCATAGGGAGCTTTGGAACACATATTGTTAGAATTTTTGGGAACATCAAGGACCAAGGGGCTATGATCAGGGACGTGAATTTTCCGCGGCGACCGCAGAATCCGTGGTGAGCGCGGCTCCCGCTGGTTTTCAGTCATTTCTGCGAAATCCGTCATTCGTGCTCTCGATGATAAGTATAGCTTCCTTCGGATAGCTCGGAGCATTCTCCCATCAGATTAAAGAGTAAGGCTCTGGGAATCTAAGATGTTCCGAACCTCGGCAGGGCTCGGTGAGACCCAGTCATTGCCTGAGATTCGTCACGACCTCAAAGATACGGCCGGATCAAGACTCGCCACGACACGAGGGTCGAACTTGCGAAGCTTTTTCGGTATTGGGAGCCGCTCTCGCCGCGAAGTCGGAGCCCATTTTGCTGTTTTGCGCGATTCCGGAGGAAGATCGGGGTTTTCCGCGAATTTCGAGTTTTCTTACCACGACGTGTCAAGATTTCAGCGGAACTCCGCCGTGAAGAATTTACATCCCGAGCTATCATTCAACAGCAGAGGACTTACAATCGTAGCAAATGAATGGAAAAACCTTTCAGTCATCAGAACCCATAAAAGATTGCAATCGGACAGCGTGCGAATTTTTCATATCTTACCGTGGAAAAATGGGTAGAAGACATACGCAGTGTTTGCGAATTCCAATCGACGAAGCGGATCGATACATGGGTTCTTATCTAGAGCTGGCTTACCGAATGTGTCCAAGGTCATTTTCGAAGGGAGAAGTAATTGAAGATTGTACTCCGTCTGGCTTATTCAGAACTATGTTTGAGTCTTCTCGCTGGCATTTCTCCTCGCTGGAGTTTCTATTGACGAAAACAGCGAGAATGATGAGAGAGAAAAAAATACTTCAATTCAAAGAAGTTCATCGCTGACACTTCCTCAACGTGAGTCTTGCGCTCCGCAGGCTCGATCAAATCACGCGGCGCCAAGGTCTGCCAGGGAGGGCCAAACTTTTCAAACGTCAGCCAACACCGCTGATTACGGACTGAAAAACCATTCTTCACAATCATGACATGGCTCCAAGCTTTTTCATACCAATGAAATTTCCAACCGAGAGTCGCGGATAAACAGCCCTGAACGATGGGACGGCTATTATTACTTCACAATTCGAGCTGCTGCGGGTGACAAAGCATTCTTCCAAGCGACACCCGGCTCTCCGCCACCCGCTGTCCCGCTTTCCCGATACGAGCTTCCTATTGGGAAGAGTCTCGACTGAGAAGCGGCACGCGCGCTCTCGATTGCTTACGATGATCCAATCTTGCAAGACAGTGATCATGTTCATGTGATAGGAGGGCGACTCCCACAAGAGGTTCCAGATCACGAGTAACCTGTCTCAGGATGGTCATGGACTCGATTCAACATCAGAGCGGCACGGACAAACAAGACCGGGAACCCGGAAAAAAAGCATCTCGAACCACCCGATTCTCTTGCCTTGTCCGAGTTTCTGATGAGTTGGTCCGACTGTCGATCATGCTCTCCAACCCATCGAGAAGGACTGTGGTCTGGGGAAGTTAACCGGGAGGAAGTTCCCCTGCAGTTTACACGCTTTTCCCCAAAGAATACTCCGCGTCTTCCCCGGTGTCCCGGACTTCCATCTATCGACTGACGGCCATATCATTCTATGAAGACCACTCACCACCGAGAGAAATGTCCGGATAGCTCATCGTCAGCTGGTGGCATTGCACGGGTCGCCCGGGCTCAGATCCCTCTGTATTCACATGCTTCGTCCCCATCCACCATAACGCCATTGTTCTCCATTGAAGTTTTCTCCTCTATAAACGCGGAAGGCAGAGTCATTCACTGCTACGAGGACCAACCGCAAGAATTCGACGGAGTTCAACTATTCGTGCTGTAAGTACATGCTCGGGCCTACAGCCTACACAAGCTTTGAATTGATCCCATATCTGAATGAAGGCGGGAAACTTGGCACTGATCTCTTTACAGCTTGTGCATCTCGACCTTCTCTTTCTTCATTTTCATCTGCACGGTTGCAGAGCTCTTCCCCTTCTCTCGGCACTCCTTTGTGCACGAAGCGCTCACTAACTTCTCCGTGATTTCCAATTCGAGACAACTTTTTCAGGCAAGTGCGTTTTCGGGTTTTCACGCTCTTCGGAGCCCTTCTCGAGCTGCTATGAGACGTAGAATGTTTTTGTGAACTCTCTTTTCAGACGAAAGAATCGAAGCGCGATATCAAGATTCTTCATGGGATCAGGGTGATTTCTTGCGCGTGGATCATTCTCGGCCACATATATTTTTTCACCGATCTGGACTCTTTCGCGAGATTCGGCAGTCTCCGAAAACTGGAAGAGCTATTTGCGAACTTCCTCTTCACCGCAGTAGAAAACTTTTCCTTGCCGGTGGATTCCTTTTTCGCGATCACGTAGGTTTAAATCATCTCCATCATCGCATCGGTCTGGATGGAGTACCCTTTTCTGAGAATGATCGATTGATATTTCGTATCCTAGGGGACTTCTGCTCATGTGGACTCACCGAGAAGATGAACCTTTCTCAATAAGATCTTGGTTCTCGAAGATGTGGCACAGAATCTATCGGTGAGTCGGAAGATCCGGATGAAACAGGCGAGGGGAGCTCAAAAAAGGTTTGAGGCTTGCCCACAGCACTCAAACGCGACGAGTTTTCTTACAGGATATATCCTTGTTATCTACTTCTGCATGGATTGTGCGTATTGCTCCCGAGTCTCGGGAACGGACCCATATGGAAAGAGGTTCGATTAAGCTCCGTGTGCGCCTCACATTGAAATTAATTAGGATATATCGTGGATTGTTTCGTGACATCTCTATTTGAATGAGCAGAACCTGAGGCTCAGGTTTGAGCCTCGGTGGTTTTCTGCGGGACATGGAGCGAGCCGTGAGGCGTGGCGCGTCGGAGTGGATCTCCTCCATTAAGATTCCATGATTGGACCTTCCAGACGTTTTCCACGATAAGCCGAAACATGTATTCAACGAGCTGGACGGATTTCCTCTTCTGTAACAATTTCATCCATTGGAACGACAATGTCATGGTTCACACCTGGTTCATTGCTCTGAACGTTCAACTTTGCATCATCGGTATACCGCTAGCTCATTTCCTGCGGAGGAACACGCGCTTGACTGTCATTGGCATGACAATCGCTAGTCTTTTCGGCTGCTTCCTGGCTTCAGGACTCATTTATTTCAATCAGTACCCACCGACTATGCTCATGATGACGTCACAGTATGAGTGAGTATTTCGGGTGATTAGAGCAGACATGCTAGAGTTTCGCCGGTATCCTCGAATGGGCCTTCCACATTGATCCGATTATTCCAGGAGAGCGATAGACTTCATCAGCTACGTTTACTACATGCCAAGCACTCATCTAGCTCCCTTCTGCTTGGGCATGATTTTGGGACACTTACTGGTCGAAGGATGCATGCCGAAATTCAACAACGTAAGAACTATCGCTTCGAAGTCGATGAGGAATTCCGCGGATTCGGAAGCAGATTCCTATATGCCATCGAAGAAGTTTTAGCACCTACAGCTGACCGCATCTGATTCTCTCTCGAATTTTCTTGCATTCTTCCAGTTCATCTTGCTCCTCGGGAACACAGTGTCTTTTCTGTGTATGTTCGCGGCCGTTTTCGGGGCCTATCCTTTCAGGGCAGGGTGGGCGATCGACTACATTTGGGTGGCGCTCTATGGCGGCTTCCATCGAGTTCTTTGGACTCTCCCGGTGAGAGACCTTATGAAAACATCGAAGATTTCAATTTCCATTTTCTCTCCTGGGAGACGACCCTAGATATCGGATCGAAGTCGGAATATTATCTTCAGGTCTGCTGGTTCATTCTCGTCTCACAAACGGGTCAAGGTGGAACCATTTCCGCATTTCTGTCTGCTAACTTCTGGCAGCCCTTTTCTTCGTTGAGTTTCGCTGCATACCTGCTGCATCCATTGCCCATTCTTCTCTACGTGGCTTCGACCAGGGAGATACAGCAGCTGGATCACTTTTACTTGGTGCGTTTTGATGGCGATAGACCTTGACATTGCATGATAATCCGTGGGCCAGAAGATTCCGCTCAAAGTCACTGCTCCGTTTCAGACCATCTTCTTCCTGGGCATTTGGTGCCTATCCCACATACTCGCGTACGTCGCCTATGTGACAGTGGAGCTCCCCTTCTCCGGTTTGGAGAGACTGCTGAGATCCAGGGGTAGCTTGGGGAATCCATTCTCTTCGAAGAGTACCGAGTTAGCCACCGTTGATTACGGGAGCTCAAAGGGCATGAAGATCCACGCCCAACCTTCGCTTCACACGACGCGCACGGATGATTGCATATTCCAATTTGATTCTGGAATCACAACCCGATACAAGCTTTAGTTCCTGATTGACATCGATCGAGCTGAGCCTCCGCAGAGAATTCCGGAGTCGCCGAACCTAGCGGCGTCCCCATTCTTTCGGCGGAAGGAGCTGTTCCTCTGAAACGCGATGCGACTGAACGTCGTACCTAGTCACATTGTCATCTCGTGTGAAAATAAATCTCAGACTTTCACTCTCTGTTCGGAATAAAGTCTCCGGAGCGATAATGTATTCTGTCGAAAAATTGAGGTTGGTTCCTTCCTTTGGTACCTCTGACCACTCCTGCGAGCCTACGGCTCCCGGATACTTCCGTCCTGGATTGATCGCCGAGGTACGTTTTCCTCAGGAACATCATTTCACGGTGAAGCCTTCCTCGCGTCGTTCCCCATGCGGCCGTGAAGCCACTCGGAAAAGGTTGCCTAGGACCCCTGCCCCACCCGCGTGGTGGCCGAGTGCTTAGCGCATGCGACGCATGCAGCCGTGAGCTATGTTGACGCCGCCATCGTCGGCGGGGTGCCAGGTTCAATTCCCGAGGCTGGCCCTTATTTCTCGTTTGGAAAGTGAGGTGTGTCGGGATCGCACTACGAGGAAGCAATAGCGACAACGCTGATACCCTCCCCCCGCCATTGCTGTGGCAGTAAGGATGAAAAAATTATTAGGAATGATTTCGGGGATCATCGGTGCTCTCATAGACATAGGCACAGAGAGAATCCATCGTGCTCGATGGATGAACCACTGATGAGCCTCACCCGAGTCACACGGCGCGACCAGAACGGCGCCTGTATTGGCTGCGCCGTTTTGGCTTCGCCGTTGTGGTCGCGCCGTTTTGTCGTAGACCCGTCACAGTCACCTTTGAACGAAACAGGAGCGCATATGAGGGCCCGTAGGGCGAAAACTCGTCCGAATGTCAATAGGGCCGACAAATCATAGCGCTGAACGCTCATGGGGCCAAGAAATCATGGCGCCGAACGCCCATAGGGCAGAGAACCCATTCCGCCAAAAACCCTCACCCATGGAGACAGACTTGCCCTGCGTGAGCTGACCTTCTTGGCTTGATTCACTCCTGCGCTGCGCTTCCGCGGAGTGCAATATTGTATATTGTAGAGCAGGAGTCGGCAAATGGGGGTCCCCGGACCCCCAGGGGTCCGCGGAATCTGCTGGGGGTCCGCGGAACCCCTCCCATAGACCCCCATTGAGCTCGCGGACTGCACTGGGCCGTGCGGAGTTTCGGCTGCACGTTCTTTAAGCGGGCCCAGGAGGGCAACACCCATTATGTACCGGTAAGCTGCTTCCGTGAGATGAGGGAATGTTTCTCAATCCTATGGGCTCGATCGATCGTCGACTAGATTCACATTTGATGATCCCGTCTGAAAACGTCGACGGTAATTAGTAGCAATTTAACCGTCGAGAGCATCGCGCTTCTCATGCTACTTGTCGACTGTCTACGTCTTCCGCATCGGAATTCCGCTTCCCTGAGGTTGCGCATTCAACTGCTCAATTGAGCTTCCCACACTTCACTACTGGAGTGTAGAGGAATCAGAGTTGCTCTCAGCCTGCCGTCGGGATCTGCGCTGCGGGGCCGTATCATTGGAGTGCATTCACTGTTCTCGAGGGGGCCGTTGCTCGTCGCCTGCCTGGACACGCTGGCACCGAAGAGTGTATCATCCTATAGGAGAATCGAGAAGTCTTGCAATTTTGATCGGCGTGACTCGAGCTTTTTCTTGACGCGATTTCAATGAACCTTCAATTACCTAATTTACGATGATCGACATGGTAGGCGGCGCCGTACGCTGCGGCGGGAGGCATACGAATCGAATGGGTCGATTTAGATGGGTTGTAGATTGCGTAACTGCGGAAAGAAAGGCGAGTCGGGTGCCAACATGCCCCGGTCTCCTCTATTGTCTCTCTGACTCGACCCAACGTTACGACTGTGTCTTGGGTCGGACATTGAATCCACCGAAACCGATCAGAAACTACTTTCGCGTCTCGTGTCCCGCGTTAAGAAGAGACGAACGATCGCGTTAGACATTTGGAATCATGTAAGTATGACGTGACACCTTCCGGGAGTTTCGAAAATGGGATCATAATAATCGAATTCTACTTGAACGGAATTTTACCATCTGAAGCGACGGTAGGTTCATGGATCTGGACGGTGTTCGGAAGAGAACGATGATGTCCTGTCTCGATGGGAGTCGACTACCGCACAGTCCACATCAGAATAGGTGTGGGTTGGAAGAAGGGAAGTCATACACGGGAGTTGTTGGGTGTAGTCTGGATAGTGACTACAGAGACTTTGAGCTTTATTCCGATGAACGGGTCTATATGCTGGTGAGTAATGCAGTGAGTGGAGGCTAGCTTAGGCCAGCTCGAGCTAGCTTAGGTCCTGCTCGGGGCGCTCGTATTTCCCTGCAATTGAGAGAAGACCAACGATCACGTTAGACATTTGGAATCATGTTAGTATGACGTGACACCTTCCGGGAGTTTTGAATATGGGATCATAATAATCGATTTCTACACAAACATCGAACGGGGTTCTACCATCTGATACGACCACGCAATGCATTGCTTCCGACGACGCTGACGATCATAGCGTCGACAACTACCGACGACTTCTACTCGAGCAATAGCATGACGTCGCCGCCGTCGAAAGCTCGGATCCAACGATTTGTTGCACCGAGGGCTAAAGGACTTTACCGTTAACGACTCCGTTCGGAACACTGCAACTCGAACACCCGCTATCGGTGGACTCGTGCCGGGCTCGAATCGAATCATAGGAAAGAGTCACACGCTCCACGCAACAACCGTTTTAGCACGGAGACGGAGTTCCTCCTCATGCCACAAGTTCGAAGTGCTTGTCATAGAATGGAAGATGTGTCTTCTCTTAGCGCACGCTACCTGTTTTCACTCGGAGTGTGTTCGAGCCTTATGTAAAGTGGACTCCCCTTAGCGGCAGTGCTTCGCGAACACTTCAGTCGGCTTGAATCATGCTTGAAAACACAATTCGCAAGCAATTCTCTACCCGACGAACCAAAGATTCTTCCTCTCAATATCCACGCCTTCGGGTTCACCACACCATCAAGGGACTGGGACCGGTTCAATCATTGCCGAATCAACGAACCGAGAGCCGTCGGAGTAAAGCAACTCATCGAAGACTCCTGCTTTATAGTCTTGCCGTCCTCCTCCATCGGATATGCGCGCCTCATGATGCGAGCCAGTTGGGATGCCATGGCGATAGTCGCCGAATACGGTGAATCCGATCCATCCATGACTATGAAGTGTAAGCCCCACAAGGGGGGAAATTCGAGAGTATTTTAGAATAATTTCCAGACTATTCGATTCGTATGCCTCCCGCCGCAGCGTACTGCGCCGCCTACCATTTCGATCATCGTAAATTAGGTAATTGAAGGTTCATTGAAATAGCGTCAAGAAAAAGCTCGAGTCACGCCGATCAAAATTGCAAGACTTCTGGATTTTCCTATCGGATGATGCACTCGACCGTGCCAGCGTGCCCTGGCAGGCGACGAGCGTCGGCCTTCTCGAGAACAGTGGATGAACTCCAATGATACGGTCCCGCAGCGCAGATCCCGAAGGCAGGCTGAGAGCAAC